AGGTCTGTTCTATAAAATCCAAGTCTGTTTTTCAAAGGACGGAGCCAAAATCCAATTGGGCTGATCAAGAAACCTAAAATTTCTTTAAAAATACGTACTTTTGTCGAGGTAGTTTACTCAACAATTGTGCTTGCTAAAAAAAATCTACCATCAGGTATGAACACACGAAGGTCTTTAAATCAAAGAATGTGAATCTCACAACAACGAGGAGGGGTCTAGAGGAACAGAATCTACGTTAAAAGATAGTTAAATCACTTCAGGAAATCTCAGACTAATATTAAATATAATTCGATCACTCAACAGAAAAGTTTGGATTCCCTAAGGAAGGTATTGAACCACTTAAGAAAAGGTTGGACTCCGTTTGGAAAATTTAAGCTCAAAAAAGTGTCGTTTCACTTCGGAAAACTTTCTACACTTTTAGGGAAGCTGGATGACCTAAACAAGATTGTGCCCTTGCCAAATGCCAAAGCAGTTAACAAAAATCGCTCTGATAAGTTTGGATTCAGTTCGGAAAAAGTTGAATCAATGCAGGAAACCTTGGATTCATTTAGGCAAGGGATTAAATCAGCTAATGTGGCCCCACTCAAGAAAATGTGAAACCAATTCTTTAAAGCTTGAATTTGGGATATGTTGAAATCACTTCAGGAGAGCTTTTCCAACTTTAAAAAGGATTCAATAACGTAACAGAAAAGTTTGGACTCAGATAGAAAAATGTTGATGACTTATTCGAAAGATTGAACTCACTTCAAAAAAGTTCAGACTCAGTTTTGAATCTGCTTTGAAAAGTGTCACCTCAAATAGGAATTTCCTGAATCGTTTCGACACTTATAAAAATTTTGAACTAATTTTGAAAAGGTTGGATTTAGCTCGGAAATTGTTGAATCACTGTAGAAAAGAATTGAATCATTACGAAGCATTGCAGCAGGTTTGTAAGTTAAGAAATTTAGATCGAATGCAAAAATCTGGCAACTACGGTGAGCTGGGCACATCGTTAACATATCGGATAACGACCTAATGAAAATGGTTATTGGTAACGACTATAGATTCCATAGATAAGCGGAGGCAAAGTATAATGTATCCAAACGAACTGTCAGTTAGTGTAGCCAAACGAGCATGACATCATCATGGTGTTGTTGGAGGGAGATGTATTGTAATATTATGAGCACAAAACGCTTTCCACACTCCAGATTCTGATTTATTTCGCGGAAAACGGAAGAAGGAAAGATAAAGCAAACCATTCCTCGATTCATTGTTGCAAAGATTTGCTTTGCACTTTATTTAGAACTTTTACGCACGAAACAAAACAAAACTGCACAACGAAGAGCTCTATGATGGCATGAACTTTTTTCACGGATGCCAGTCAGATCATTTATTTATCATGGTTGCCAAAACAACTTTTTGTGCCTCCGCTTATCTATGGAATCTATTGTATCTATAGTAGCGACCCGACTGGAAGAAGACGAAGATGTGCGCAGCGAACAAGGGGGATCGATCAGATTGAAGGCGGCTTACCTAGTGAGTTGCCAAACAAGATTAGGAATGAGTTCGATAAAATCCGATTTCAACAACTGAAACCGGCTGATCCGATTTCAAGGACCTGCCATGCCATTCTGGTCTAGTACAAATTTATGTAAAAATTCTATAAAAGAACAAGGTGATATTCTACAACATAATAAAATCTAACAAAGCGAGTATTCATACCCAAATGAATTAGCGATACTCGAGAACAAAAGAACGATCCTGTTCTTTTTACGAAGGGAAGCAAAATCGGAGCAGCTTCAGGAGTCCGTGATGTTCCGTGATATTGTCATACGACACTTTCCGAACGGCGAATGAGAACAACTCAAATTTGAGTTTAGTTAACTCATAAATCAAATAAAGCGTAGGAGCTCAGTGATGAGTAAATTTGCCTCATGTTCTTCCAGGAAAAAAATCCCGAACATGAGAAAAGTAAAAGTTTGCCTTAAACTGTTTCAGTTGTTTGGATCTTCTTCATGTTCCGCTTGACGATGGTCCAATTTTTTTTTTCCATCGGGTGGAGCTCTGCCGTGTTGAGAGGGTTCTTGTCCTTGGGCACAACCTGCACGTTGTTGGCGATATACCAATTCATGGCATTTTTCTGTAATGGCAGGATGCAAAATCTGGCAAAAAAAGCACGGAACAATCAGATTGTTTTAGAAAAGTCAGCAGACGTTTTTCCAGGCCTTCGTTTACGTGAATTTCCTGGTTGACGGTCCTGGTTGCAATGAAAATGTAGTTTTTCAAGCCACAGGTACAGATAGCCTACCAAACCAGATATTTCTTAGCAAACTTCGACAGTTTCATATGCTTGAAAATGTCTACCACCTTTCCCCTTCCGGTTGCCGCATAAAACTCCTGCCCAGGAAGCTGTTTGAAGTCTGATGGCTCGAGTGGCACTTGCCTTTGATAAAAAAAACACGTCTACTGAGGATTCATATTTCTAAAAAAAAATCATCTATCAATGAAACAATCATCGGTCGTCATTGAAAAGCAATGCAACTTTGTTCTGTCAATCTAATTGAAACTTTTATTGGCTCTGTTGTCTTGTGAATTTTAGCTGTAACGGCCTTTTTATCTCTCAACCTATGGAATCTACACGAAAACTATGTTTGAACAAAATTTCTAAAACAGTATAAGGAACATTATGCCGTAGACTACAATTTTTTATATCATATGGGTGGAAAGTTCATAGAACAAATACTTTAAAATTCTTCACTTTTTAAGATATTTTCGAGCAGGAAACTAAGTCAAACTTCAATAAAATCACTTTGAAAAGTCAACCTCTAGTCACAAAGTTGGTAGATAAAACATTAAGCTTAGCTATGAAAGTTGTTACAGAAGTTTTCGTTGTTTCAATATCAAGATACAAATATTATATGAAGAGAGCAAAAAATGTTGTCAGCGTTTTCGGTTTCGTTCTTTGTCATCTGCTTCATATATGATGGGGAATATGATCGTTTGTGCAATAAGGATGGTCAGAGTCACTTGTTCGTTTGCAAGCAATTAAATTAACCTTTCGGGAGGCAGCTTGCACACTGGACCCTACCTATTGACCCATCAACTCATAGACCGGGGACCAACGGCTTTACGCCCCGAAGGAAGGCACGATCAGAGATCTTATACCTCAGAAAATCACGGCGGCGCCGACTGGGATTGAACCCAGGTCTGCTGGGTTGAGAGGTAATCACGCTTACCACAACACCACCGGTGCCGCTGTTGCAACGTTAATATTATTTGAAATTTACTGTCGTCCGTTTGTGTCTTGGTCCGATTTTGGAAAAAAATAGTTAGCATTTAAAAAGTTTTAGACAGAAAGTTGGTATGCTTAACTTAGATTATGAAAAAGATAAGGTTTATACCTTACAAGAAAAAAAAAACAATAAAAGGAAATTGTGAGTAGTCTACAAAGGTTTGAGCCTCGTGCGCGTATTGTGGGCATAAAAGACTGAATTCATCATTTGAAAAAAAAATAAAATTGAATGTTTAAGCTTATTTGGAAGATACTTTGAATTAGTAGTAAGTTTTTTAGCTGAATTTCAGGTACTTTGACTATATGTTTAGTATTACTTCTGCGTGAAGTCAACGATTTACATTATTTGAAATTAGCATTTTCAACTATGAATTTCAGGGGTTTGTGAGCATTCCTGCCATTGTTGAAAATTATGAAAGCATCAAATTGCGGGGTTGCTAGTGTAATAGGATGCTTTGCCTTTTTTTAGGTGGACAAAAGGGTGAACGCTTAAGCTTTTTCACATTTATATCACTGTGAAGCAACTGAAAATTGATGATGGAATTTATAATTGTAACCTAAACCTGTTCGTTTTGATTGCCAATCTGGTTAAGATCTTCTTCTTGTTATTCATCTTCGCATTTAAAGATTATTGCATATCGCATATTACCTTAATACGTGCTCTCAACTTAGTGTTCTAGATGCACTTCCACAGTTATTAATTGAGAGCTTTCGTTGCCTGTACCATTTTTACATTAGTATAATTATGTGACAAGTAGAATCATGCTCTGTGCCCAGGAAAGTCGAGAAATTTTCCAACACGAAAAATTCCTAGACCGGACAGGAAATCGAACCCAGCATGATCTTGCTTTGTAGCTACGCCTTTACCGACTGAGCTAAGGGAGGTCCCATCTGGTTAAGATGTTATACTTAATTATCTTGAAGATTGATCGTCCAGCTAAAACCTTTGTAGGAGTAAGAGGTGGGAGGTGGGACCATCATCTTTATATCTTTTAACATATTGAAAATACAGTTTACTTTTAAATTAAATAAAAAAAAAACAAATCTAGCTGTTTTTATCAAACCGGAAAAATTGGGAAAAACCGTCAATCTAAGTTCATAAATCCAGTAGCCACCCTTTTATAAACATTTTATTTGCAGACCATTGCTGATATTTATGTCAGAAGTTCGTGGAAGTGATGTTGAGTACGTCGTTATCATAATCTAAATCGTATTTGGTTGAATTTTTAAAGCTTTATCATCAGCTTTATCATTCAAATAACGCATCATAAGGGTACCACTATACGAAATAAATATGTTTTATCGAAATCAATCTAACTTATCGACTTAATAAAAAAAATTGACGATTTATTACTCCTAAAAAAGTGTGGAAATAAGCCCTCCACGACGATAGTATGAGATAACTTAACTCAACTAATACAGTCACTCTCTCAGGTCTACTGCAAACAAAATGTTTCAGGACTGGTATTTCTTTTTACAAGAATAACAGAAGGTACAAACCTAGCCATTGTGAAAAACAACATCGTCGGCATTAGTTCTGTCATCCTAAATAGCACCTGCCATTTTGTAAAATTATTCATTTTTAAACCCATCTTGCATATTCTTCGGTACACTATCAACTTCATTTCTATTGAATTTTTGGTTATCAAAATAACATATACTATAATATATCCATTTTAAATAAAATAACAAGCACTGATTTTGCTATGAAATACAAACCACTAACCAGCGGGCGAACGATGGCTCCAGGCGAAGAAGCTGCTAAGCCCAACTTTCAACACCCGTATGCTGACGGGCTTCCTACCTACTATGGATGCACGGGCGATGAAAATGATCACCAAATTGCAACCGCTAGCCGATGGACACACCGAGATCGACTTGTTCCAGTACATATCCACCTGCACCCTGGAGATTGCCTTCAGTACCACAATGGGTCGAGTTGTAGATGAACTACCCGGTCAACAGGACTACATCCGTAATTTGGAAATGTCGGTTGTTGTGATTGAGCTGTACGTGCTTGGGTTCTAAATTAACGTACAATTCCTATCGTTTCAGAATGATGAACGCCATAGGAGCTCGCATAGTGAACGTCAACCTTTGGCTATTCTATCGCTTTTCCAAAACATACCAAATCGACGAACAGGCGCGAAACAATTGCTTCGCTTTCACGAATAAGGTTCTCTGTCAGTCTGGATGCAATGGCTAGGAAGTATTTCAAAAGCGTCATTCTTGTCACTTACAGATAATTCAGGAAAGAAGACGTGAACTACGTACTGAACCGGAGAGTACCCACGATGAATTTTTGAAGAAACAAATGAATACATTGGATCAGATTATAACTGCCCAAAGAAGTAACGGAACTGCTTTCACCGACACGGAGCTTATCTATCAGCTGTTCAGTATAATGTCCGCTGTATGAATTCCCCCAATGATCTATCCTCTGAATACCAACACATAAAAGTTATTCCATTCACAGGCCAACGACACTTCAGCCCTCACGGTGGCATACACCTGTTTGTTTCTAGCGATGTATCCGGAAATTCAAGACAAAGTGATGGCCGAAATGAACCAAGTATTCTACTCCCCCGAAGTCGAAATCAACCTGGACACCGTAAAGCAACTGGAGTACACCGAAATGGTCGTCAAGGAAGTACTGCGACTGTGTCCTGCGGTGCCGTTCGGCGCACGACAGACGTCGAAGGAAATCCTCATCGATGACATCCGAGTCCCGAAGGATCAAATCATAGCGTACGATCTGTACACGCTTCATCGTCGGAAGGAGTTCTGGGGTCCCGATGCGGAACTATTCGATCCGGAACGGTTTCGACCGGAAGCCGTCCAACAGAGGCATCCCTACGCGTACATGCCGTTCTATGGTGGCCTTCGCAACTGCATCGGACATCGGTATGCGATGCTTTCCGTGAGGATAATGCTGCTTCGCGTTCTGCAAAACTTCGAGCTGAGGACCAACCTGAAGCAGTCGGATTTGAAGTTTAAGTTTGAAATCACGTTGAAGCTGGATGGTCCGCACAGTGTGTGGTTGGTGAAGAGGAACAAAGGATTGTAGCTGCTAAGTTGATTCTAAGCGATATTGTAGGAACTCAAAGGAACTCTACTGTTCTTACTGTTCAACCAGTTTCTGAGTGATCAGAAACAGAGATTTGAAAATAGTCTGATAAGATCCGTACCAACTGTTAGAGAAGACAATGAGGTATGATAAGCATTTAAGATCCATCGCACTGTTTATTAAGCAACATGTTTGATAATCGAAGTGGTGATAAGGGCTCTGTAGATTGTAGTAAAAGTTCAAAATCTATGTGATGGTGCCTAATCTCTGATCCGAACAAACCTGTATAGGAGGCAGCTTTGCTCATATAACGACGAGAGGGCGGCAACTAAATGCATTTAAATGATTACATCGCCCATCCTGCAATCAAATTGTCAAATGATAATCTGATTACAATACAATATGAAAACATTATGTCACACGCAAACACCGCAAATCCGCATTGGAGTTCATTAGGCTCTTACGAGCGACACGAGGCAGTTGATGATTGAAACTGTAATTCAGATGCGCAGTGTGATTGGTAGGCCTACCTCGGTGCGATGCAAATAAATGCTATTGATTATTTTTCCCGGGAGATTGTGTGTGCCTCAAAACAAGCGATGTTTCAAAACACTAGCGAGTGAATCCAAATCTTGTCGTAACTATCCAAGTTGGTCTTTTGCGGCATCAAACCCTTTTAGATTTGATACACGCAATCCAAAAATTTATTACATTCAATGTTAGTTGCATTTCCTATCATCCTCCGCAGCGAAAACCGCAGCAAATGATATTAGTTGGCCATGCAGACAATGCAATGATTTTTTATCTTTGTATTTATAACATTGCAGAACTACGTACGCACTTGCTTCGATTCTCTCCATTTTCCGTTCAGCAGAAAAAGCAAGGCGATATCAATTGTCGTACTACGATCGCTTCTTATTTGCTTTAAGCCTGTTCAAGCTCCGAAGCATGGAGAGAGCAGTGGAGAAAGTACAGGTTTGATAAATGCGACGTTCATGGTTCGAGTCCAGTCGGCATCCTTTTTTTGACGTAGGACTACGTCTGTGATTTCTATATGGGGGTACATTTGTGAAAACCGAAAATGGAACTTGTAACAAAATTATGAAAGATTTTGAACATTAATAACTCAGCTGCTCCTGGACCAATTTCAATAACTTTATCACAAATCAATCAGAAATATTTCTACGCATCAAAATAAATGCTTTCGACTGATGTTGCAAAGACACTATTGAAAAAGTGGAAATGTCAAGCATTGTTCAATGTACAAATAAAAAGTGATAATTTTAGCACTGTTTTCATGAAATAAATGTTGCTTCCAAACCAGCCGTCTTAATCGAGTAAGACTTGGTTGCACATCATTGTGCTTTAACCTGAAAATATATAAAAGAGAGCTGCTGCCTAGCCTTAACTGCTCATTCTTTGCTCGACTGTTGAGTTGTCCAGTCCGCTTGAGTTCTCGTTTCGATTTAGTTTCGATTTGTGCTGTCGCGTTGCGCCGTGGAAGTGTCGCCACCTTCTCGCGTTCTGGCAAGTTTACTTGAACTTGCAAACATGAGACAGCAGCGGGCCCTTCAAAGAAGGTGCTAATCAATCCCAGCGCGTCGCACGATGACGCCGGGAAACCGGTACTGCAAGCCAATCAGTATGCAGTACTCCCGGAAGAAAATGGCGATGGTGACGCCGTTCCCATTGCTAGAAGAGAGCGGATTCCTCCACTTTTTACGCCGGTGAAGGATGTTGCCAAGCTGGGTGCCGAACTGGTAAAACACAAGCTGCTGCCTCGCTTCAAGATTTGCAGCATCGGTACCAAAATCATGACCTCCAGCCTGGAGGAGTACACACAAATATAATGTTTCCTGAAGGACAACAACGTGGACTTCTTCACGCATGATCTGCCATCGGGCAAGCCACTGAAGGTGGTTTTGCGTGGATTATCGTCGTTCGAGGCGGTTGCGGTGAAATCCGAGCTGGAGCGGCTTGGGCTCAAGCCTGAGACGTTCCAACCACAACCGGCGTTCCAACCACAACCGGCGTTCCAACCACAACACCAGCTTCCGTGACCAGTTGTTCCTGGTGCACTTCACGAAGGGATCCACCAGTCTTGCGGCTCTGAAATCAAAAATCCGGGACCTGTTTCAGGTCATCATTAGTTGGGAGTATTACAAACCCCAACATTGCATTGTGATGTAACGCAGTGTATGAACTGGCTCTCCTATGACCATGGCACCAAAAACTGCCACATGAAGACAAACTGCGGCAAGTGTGCTGGAACTCACTCAACTGCGTCGTGTGAGCAAGATGATGACATCGAGCCAATGTGTGTCAACTGCGGTGGGAACCACCAAGCCTCCAATCGCGGATGCCCCAAGCGAATTCATGAATATCCATCGGAAGGCTACAATCATCAATCAGCCCGGTCGCCGTCGTAATCATCGGTAGTCTCCTATACTCACGGAAGTCCAGTACCCAGCTCTCCAGCCCCGTCGACATGTTCCGAACCTAGCCCTGCTTCCGCTCAACAATCAACAAGCCAATCCTGCGAGTATCCAAATTGTTCCCAACAGTCGGACAGTTCAGCATCGTCTCACTGCTGCTGCGGCCTAGCCAATTCCAGGTTCATCCACCGCCAGCTGGTGCTGTCTCAGGTGAACCTGTCAACGATTCTCCGTTCACCTCGGAGGAGCTTGTGACGCTCGTGGCCGAGGTCATCATCATCATGCGCACCTGTAAGACTCGATCTGAACAGCTACATGCTGTCCTGACCCTTGTCACTAAGTATGGATCGTGAAGCCATCAAGATCGTAAATTGGAATGCTTGCTCCTTGACGAGCAAAAACATCGAGTTTGTTGACTTTCTCAACAAACGGCACATCGACACAGCCGTCATCACCGAGACTCACTTGAAGCCCGAGCTGAACGTAAGGCTTGACCGCACCAACTCCGGGAGAGTGGGAGTGGCCATCGCTGTGAGACGGAACATCAGCTGCCGGCTACTGCCAAGCTTCCAGCTGAAAACTATCGAACCCATCGGAGTTGAGGTGAAGACATCGCTTGGTCCAATCACCATAATCGTGGTCTACTGCCCCAAGCAAACCAACATTAGGGACGGCTCGGCCGCAGACCTCCGAAGAGACATCATCAAGCTAACACGACGGTGACAAAATTTCATCATCGTTGGCGACCTGAACGCCAAGCATCAAGCCTGGGGCAATAGTCGGCGAAATCAGAACGGCACAATCTTGCACAACGATCTGCAGGAAGCCCACTACAACATCCTGTGTCCGGACACTCCCACCCGGTTGAGTCGATCCGGAGCTCATGCCAACATCGACATCTTCATCAGCAACATTGGCGATAACATCTCTCAACCTATCGCCTATCAGGAACTGAGCTCGGACCACTATCCGGTGGTGGCCGAAGTAGGTTCCTCGGCTAATAGGTTTCAAGTTTCCCGGCGAAATTACCATCGTGTCAACTGGCAGCAGTACCAGCGCTGTGTGGACACAACAATCAACTACGACGTCCTACCGGAGTCGTTCGAAGAAGGCGATCGGTGACTTCAAACCATCGAAGAGGCGATATCCCGTGCCAGGGAGCAACACGTACCAGCTTCCATACAGGTGAGTCTACTCTGAACCTTGACAGTCCAACCAAAGATCTGATGAGGCTCCGCAACACCATTCGTATGCAGTTCCAGCGTTCTGGGCTGCCCCACTTGAATACCAATGTCAATAGGCTAACCAAAATTATCCAGGCCAGGATGGTGGAACTCAAAAATAAATATTTTGCCAACAAGATTCGCTCTCTCCCAGATTGTGCAAAACCATTTTGGAAGATGACCAAAATTTTGGAAAATAATTCGAGACCGATCCCTCCGCTCTCCTCTGTTGACCAGAACTCGGACCCATCCCTACTCAAAACCTTTTTTGAATAGGCCAATGCTCTTGGCCAACATTTTGTGATTTCACATCATCTTGACCAAACCATATGGTGAGCCCCCATGAGCCTGCCGTACTGGAGGCAATGTCTAGAGTCGCTGACACCCCCGTAGTAGTGCATGATGATAGTAGAATGTCGACTAATGAGGTGATAGCAGCTATTAGAAGCACTAAAAACATGAAGGCCGCGGGTATGGATGATGTAGTCAACCTCGAGTTGAAAAAGTTTGAGTATTGACTTCTTCAACCATCTTACCGTTATCTTCAACAAATGTTTGGAGCTTGGCTACTTCCCTGCATGCTGGAAGTTAGCCAAAGTGATTTAAGCCTGGCAAAGATCCGACCAGTGCCAAAAGCTATCGCCCCATCAGCCTCTTGTCCTCCATCTCGAAGCTATTCGAAAAGTTTATACTCAGCCGCCTGCTGGTGTTTTCAAATGATAATAACATCTTTTTCAAAGAGCAATTCGGGTTTAAGTAAGGCCACTCTACTATTCACCAACTCGCACGGGTTACTAACATCATCAAGCGAAATAAGTCCGTTTCCAATACATCTGCCATGGCATTGTTGGACGTCGAGAAGGCGTTCGACAATGTCTGGCATGATGGTCTAGTGTACACGCTGCATCGATACAACTTTCCGATCTACCTAATGAAGATCATCAAAAACTACTTGTCGGGCAGATCATTCCAGGTCTACTTGAACAATGTCCCCTCTGATACGTTCAACGTTGATGCAGGGGTCCCTGCTTGGGCATTCAACATTTTAACGTCAGACGTTCCTCCCCTGCCGGGTGGTGGTATCCTGTCAATGTTCGCAGATGACACCTTCATCATCTATAAGAGTCGAGTGATCCGTGCTCTGGCGAGTAAACAACAACCAGACCTGGATGTTCTGTCCGAATATTTCAAGAGCTGGAAGATTTGTATCAATGCAGCTAAAACACAAACCATTCTGTTTCCACACTTGAATTCACCTAGGCTTGTTCCACCTGCTAACGTTATGGTCCATCTTGATAGCACTCCCATTGAATGGTCGAGTGAAGAAGTCTACCTTGGTATCACCCTCGATA